AGCGCTTGCCAAGTCATCTACCTTGAAGGTGACCTCCTCTTCGTCGCGTCGCGTCGCGCGTACCATGTGCAGAGTCATGCCGTCTGCCACTCCGCGACTATCGCTGCGTATCACCACGCGACAGCTGCAGGCAAGATCAGAGAGAGAGTAGAGGAGAGGAGGAGAGAGGAGAGGACATGAGAGGAAGAGTGAGCGGTGTCAATGCGCAGTCGGCCGGCTGCCACTTGCGGCTACACGCTGCCGCACCTGCACCGCTGACAGTCTTGCATGCGAGACAGATAGAGAGTGAGGGAGAGGAGGGAAGGAGGGAGAGGAGGAGAGAGAGTGAGGAGAGAAGAGAGGGAGTCGATGCGCAGGTCAGCCGGCGCCCACTTCGGCGACTACGCTGCCGCACCTGCACCTCGCGACAGCTGCAGCGAGACAGATAGAGAGTGAGGGAGAGGAGGAGAGGAGGGAGAGGAGGATCGGAGACAGGCGAGGAGAGGAAGAGGAGCAGTCATGCGCAGGTTCGCCGCTGCCACGGGCGCGACACCGCTGTGCGCACCTGCACCCGCGACATGCTGCAGGCGAGACAGAGTACGAGTAGTGAGGGAGAGGAGGATGAGAGGGAGAGGGAGGAGGAGAGGAGAAGAGGAAGAGAGGGGTCACTGTGCGTCGGCCGGCGCCCACTGCGGTATCACGCTGCGCAACCTGCACCCGCGTACAGCTGCCAGCAAGACAGATACGAGAGTGAGGGAGAGGCAGGAGAGGAGGGAGATGGGAGGATGAGAGAGGGAGGAGGGAGTAGGGAGGAGAGGATGAGGATGGTCATGTGCAGTCGGGTTCGGCTGCCCATCCGTGACACGCTGCGCACCTGCACCCGAGTATAGCTGCAAAACAGATTAGAGAGTGAGGGAGAGGAGGGAGAGTGGAGGAGGGAGAGAGAGAGGAGGAGGGATGAGGCAGGAGAGAGAGGAGGGTCTATGCAGCAGGTCAGCGCTGCCACTGCGGCGACACGCTGCCCCGCACCGTGCACCCTGCGCAGCTGCCAGAGACAGATCAGAGAGTGACGGGAGAGGGAGGAGAGGAGGAGAGGAGGAGAGGAAGGGAGGAGAGAGGAGGAGGGAGAGGGAGGAGAGGAGAGAAGGGTCATTGCGCAGTCGGCCGCGCTGCCACTGCGTGATCACGCTCGCACCTGCACCGCGATAGCTGCAGCAAGAAGACTAGAGATGTGAGGGAGAGGGAGGTAAGAGAGGAGAGGAGGAGAGGAGGAAAGATGAGGGAGGATGAGAGAGGAGAGAGAGAGAGAGAGGAGAGGAGGAGAGGAAGAGAGCGTCATATGCCGCAGGCGCCGTTGCCACCGGTGACACTACTGTCGCACTCACCCGCCGAGATATGCTGCCAGCGAGACAGATAGAGTAGTGAGGGTAGAGGAGAGGGAGAGAGAGCGAGGAGAGGAAGAGAGGAAGAATGACGGATGCAGTCAGGTCGGATCGACTGCCACTTGCGTGACTACGCTGCGCATCCTGCACCCGCGACAGCGCAAGCAAGACAGATAGAGAGATGGCAGAGGAGAAGGGGAGGGAGAGGGAGGAGGGAGAGGAGAGAATTTGGAGAGAGAAGAGTGAGAGGTCATGCGAGTCGGCGGCTTGCCCACTTCGGTGAACGACTGCCCGCACCTGCACCCCGAAAGCTGCAGCAAGACAGATAGGAGAGTGAGTGAAGAGGAGGAGAGAGGGAGAGGTAGGAGGAAGAGGGGAGAGGAAGAGTGAGAGAGGAGGAAAGAGGAGAGGGAGAGAGAGGAGGAGAGAGGGAGGGAGAGAGGAGAGGAAGTGGGAGGGGGAGAGGTGGGAGAGAGGAGCAGGAGAGGGAGAGAGAGAAGGGGAGCGACAGTGAGGGAGTAAGAGAGAAGGAGAGAGTGGAGAGGGAGGGAAGGAAAAGAGGGAGGAGAGAGGGAGGGAAAGACAATAAGAGAGAGGAAGAGGGGGAGAGACAGTAGGAGGGAGGAAGAGAAAGGGGAGAGAGTGGCGAGGGAGGGAGGAACATGAGGGGGAGAGGGAGGGAGAGAGAGACGGAGGAAGAGAGGGAAATAGAGAAAGAGAAAGGGAGAGGGAGATAGTGATGTCGATGATAGCTGGCAGTCAGTAAAGATAGGAGAGTAGAGGAGGAAGAGGGTATAAGGAAAGCAGTAAAGGGTGTTGTTAGGCTTCTGGTGTGACAAGATAGAGAAGAGAGGGGGGGTAACAATATCCGCTGTAACGAATACACTACTCTGGTAGCAATATACCATGACCCAGATATTTATAACACACACACGCACGCACGCACATGCACGCACGCACGCATGCACATGCGGGCACGCACGCACGCACGCACGCACGCACCACGCACGCACGCACGCACGCACGCACGCACGCACGCACGCACGCACACACACACACACACACACACACACACACGTGACGTTTACGAGCGGCGGACGCCCGCGTGCGTGGTGGGGGCGGTGTGTGTGTGCGGAGGGGGCTGGAGGGTCTGCTGCCAGTGAAGTCCAACTACGGTGATTTACCGACGATTTACTCGCTCAATAATTCATTTCTCATTCGCGCGATGCATCGGCTGCGGCGGTTTATCACCGACGCTCGCCGAGGTTTGCTGACGACGAGAGTGCGCGGTTTCCTGATGCCCCTGCCGGCTCTCCCTCACAAGCAATTTACCGATGCCCCTGCCGGCTCTCCCTCACAAGCAATTTACCGAT